TAGAGCTATTTTTGTTTACCTTTTTTTTTTTAATTTTTAAAACACATTACATTTGACAGTAATATATTATCTTTAGTTATGACCAGCTATTATCATTAATCATTGTCGACCGCTATATTGGTCAATTCCAAAATTGTTTTCAAATTAACATGAACAAACTAATTTTCATTTCGTCTTGTTTGAAAAACAGTATTTAAAAATTGGTTTACAAAATATATTTTTTAAAAAAAATGAGAACAAATCAAACTCTAAGATACTGACCTGAGCATCCTTCACGTTTAATTGATTCTGAAGCTGCCAAGCAAGATTTTCATCATGACTGTTATCAGGAATCTCCCCTTGTGTCATAGGATGCTTTGCCTGATTTTTCTATTTTCATTCTTCAAGAGTAAAAACAGTTGTATCTTCTCGCTTCTCCTTGCCCTACGTTTCCGACCCTTGCGGGGCTGATGCTCCTGATTTGGTTGACTCAGTTTCTGAAGTAATTTCTGGGCAGCTGCTTGATTTTGAATAGGAACAGATTCCACGACTATATGGAAGAAGGATAAGATCACAGCATTACAACAGGAGAAAGAATGGGATCTATAGAAAAAAGGGGGGGGGGGATCTAGACAACCCTGTAACTTAGACATAGTAACAGAAGAAAAGAATCATCAATAATAAAAATAAAATGGGATTGAAGCAAATCCCGGAACTTAAGTTAGATAGTGAGCTTTATAAAATTTACAGTATGCTTGTGATGGAACTGCACTATTATCCCATTAACAACTGTGAACTATTGAGTAATTACAATCAAACCAACCACCTCAGTGAGAAACTGATAGGTTTAATTCAGAAAACACAGCCTAGCCGAAGACCTCACTGGAACAGTACGCGCTAGAAAACAGATTTTGGAGAAGTGAAAAATGTATTTTTCATTCATTCCCTCCAAATTTACAAGGCATGGAAACTTAATAGGAGAAATATATATTTACAAAAAATGCACACAATAAATGTAAATATTCTCCATACTTAAGGTTCATAAAAGTAAATGATTTTCCACACTTCCCCTCCAATTAAATCATAGATATTGATCATGTCTAACTTGCTCACACATTCATCAAAATTTTCTTTTAAAAGTCCCATGGCGAGGATGTCAGCAACTTACTTCTTTGTTGGGACATATATTAGACACACAATTCCACTTTCAATTTTTTCCTTGATGAAATGTCTTTGCACTTCCACATGTTTTATTCTATCATGTTGAATTGGATCATAGGAGATACTTATGGCTGCCTTGCTATCAGAGTAGAGCTTGACAGGTAATTCCACATCAATCTACAATTCTTTCAGAAGTATTTGCAACCACAAGCCTTCACAAATTCCATGAGCAACAACTCTGAACTCAGCTTCTACAGCCCTTCTGGCCGCCACATTTTTCTTGCTCCTCAAAGTTACCAAGTTTCCTCATACAGAGGTATAATACCCATATGCGGATCTTCTATCCTTTGAAGTTTGTGCCCAAACAGTGTTAGTAAATATTTTTACATTGGGTTGTTCACCCTTTTTAAAGAATGGTCCTTTTACAGGGGAACCTTCCTCAAAATTATGTACACAGCTCGTAGGTGGATTTCCTTTGGTGAGTGCGCATGCTGACTAACAAAGCCTACACCAAAGGCAACATCTAGATTCGCAAGTGATAGGTATCTTACTTTACCCACCAAACTCTGATCTCTTCTCATCAACTAGCTGGCCTTCTTCTTCCCACTCTTCTCTTCCTCTTCCCCATCTTTGCTTTCTTCTACCTTCTTTTTCTTCTTCTTTACTGCAATGGGAGTATCACATAGCTCGCAACCAAGTATTCCAGTTTCTATCAAGAGATCAAGAACATATTTTCTTTGTGAGATATGCATTCCTGTCTTTGACCTTGCAACCAATTATCTAGTTTCTATCAAGAGATCAAGACATATTTTCTTTGTGAGATACATATTCCTTTATTTGATCTAGCAACTTCCATACCTAAGAAATAATGCATTTGATGTGGATCGTTTCGTTCAAATTCAGAAGCTAACACTTTCTTTAGTCTCTCCATCTCTTCAATGTCATCACTAGTTAGGAAAATATCATCCACATAGACAATTAGTATGGCCCTTTTCCTTCCTTTTGTCTTATAAAGAGTGCATAGTTAGATTGGCCTCACTAATCGTTCCCCTTTTTGCTCTGGTTTCAAAATCAAGAGGAAGGGTCATATAAACTTCTACTACTAAGTCACCATTAAGGAAAGCATTCTTAATCTCTAGTTAATGAAGTGACCAATCAAAATTTGCAGCTAAAGATAATAGTACTCTAACTATGTTAAGCTTTACAACTGAGGCAAATGTCTCATTGTAGTCTATGCCATAGGTTTGCATGAACCCTTGGGCAGCAAGACATGCTTTATATTCCTTCAAAATTCCATCAGCATTATACTTTAGTGTAGAGACCCATTTGCCTTCAGCAAGCTTCTTTCCTCTTGGGCTCTTGGCAAATCAACTTCTTCCTAGGTATTATTCTTTTCCAAACAGCTTTCTACCATTTGGTATTTCAAGAGTTTCATGGATATTGCTAGGGATTTTTACCCTATCAATAATAGTGGTGAAAGCACATAATCTTAGAGAAAGAGCCTTACAAGACACAAACATCTTTATAGGATAGAAAGTAGATGAGCAAGGTTGCTTCCTTAAAGCAATGGGAAGATCAAGATCAGTAAATTCGATTACTTGTTTTGGACCATCTGACTTGCTGGATGAATCAGCCTCTAGGTGCTCAAGATTTTCCCCAGGTTCCAAGTCTCCTAGTACTTCAGCCTCTTGGTATGACTCTCTTGGTGCTTCAGGTAAAAGTTACTCACTATTTTACGATTTGTTCTTTCAAGTATAAAGAGACAATTCCCCTTTGTAGTTTTTCTATATCTTCTCTTATTTTCCTATTTTCCTCAAGTTTTGACCTAAGTAGATGGACTAGTGATGGGTAGTGGAATCAGGCACAATTGAACAAGGTTCAAGCAATGGAGGTGAGTTTTGAAGTGGGATCTCTATCTTTATCAGGCTCCTCACTTTCATAACGCTTGTAACTCTTTTGTGTTGGTGAATAACCCAAAAAGATATATTTAACTACACAGGGTCAAGTTTAGGACTTTGGTGAAGATGGACAAAAGATGTAAACTAGAAAATTCGAAGGGTAAGATTGGTCTTAACATGGGATGCAGGATATACATGGTGTACTTTTGGAGAGTAACTCGAATGACAATACACAACCTAACATTTTTTTATGAGATATATGGCAGTGAGAACAGCATCCCCCTATAAGTATTTTGGAACATTACAAGTGAACATGAGGGCTCATGTCACTTTTAGAATATGTCTATTTTTTTTTTCTTTTAGCTATTCCATTTTGTTAGGCGGGTATGGACATGGGTACTTTCATGGATGATGTCATGTTCCTAAAGAAACATACTCAGAGACTAGTTAAAGTATTCAATGCCATTGTCAATGTGTAAAATTTGAATAGCTGATCAGAATTTATTCTTAATCATAGCATAAAAGTTGGGGAACACAGATGAAACCTTATACTTGACCTTAAACAAGCAGACCCAACAAAGACGAAGAAGATCATCTACGAAAGTAATAAACCACTTGTTATTGGTGTGGTTGTCAACACGAGAGGTCCCAACAAGTCACCATCATGTATAGCTGTGAAAGGTTTAGCAGGTGTATGCTTAGCTCTAAGAAAGAAAGTTTAATGGTGTTTAGAATGTTGACAAACCTCACACTGGAATTTACCAATATTCTGACTCACCAAAAGCAAATTACAATCGAGTTTGGGCACCTTGAGAACAAATTCTAAAACAATAGAACATGATATACGAACACTTCCTCTCTCAGCAACCAGTGCTAAGGAACCATTTACAATCTTTACTTCAATATTCCCAACACAAAGGGTGTAAGCGGTGAAAAACAAATGACAATTAGTCCTGTGATCAGATACCCCTAAATCAACAATCCATATTATTGCATTTTGAGACGCCTTCTAGGCTTGAAGAAAGGACCCACTTTCCACCACTGATGCTATAGGTATAGATCTAAGAACATTAGTCATGATACTTAAGAGTATTATCACTCCTACAACATCAAACAGAAAATTACCCTCATAGCACAGACAAATTAGAAGCCACGCCCCCACAACTTGAAGCCATAGCACAAAATGGCAAACAAATGACCAAGATGCGTTGAAAGAAAGTTGCCTAGACTTGGGAAATGTTGGGATCTGGCCGAAATCACCAAGTCATCACTGAAGCAAGTCATTGGTGCCTTATTGAACTACTTGCATGCCCACGCACTTCTAGAAGTCAGTTGGTGGGTGCAAAACGTTGAGGTGGAGCATGTGAGCTACACATGTCACCATTCATTGAGGTTTTACTTGGGTTGGCTGATTGGAACCTCCTCTTCTTCATGGGGCTGGCAGTAGAAGTCAACAATGCATCCACCATCATGCAAATGAACACACCAAAACATAGTTGAGGAGGCCACATACAATTCATAACCCAAAAACCCTAAATTGCTATGTATGAACCTCGCACTCTAATATCATGCGACCTAGAGAAAAATTTTGGAGAAGTGAAAATTGTATTTTCATTCATTACCTCCATTTCTACAAGGTATGGGAACTTCTTTGGCAGGCAAAAATATTTATAATCAATGCTCACAATAAAAATAAATATTCCCTATACTTATGGCTCATAAAAGTAAAGGATTTCTCACAAAGAAAAACATCAAGCAAAATGGAACCTCACACTGGTCTCACTCCCACACTAGCATTCGAGAGGCTAATACTCTCCTCACCAATTCTGTCATGCCTCTCCAAACACTCCCTACCACCACTATATGTTAGAACCCGTTACATGATTTCCTCCTCCTTTGCCAACTCACCTTTCACCTTTATCTTTTTCTATCTCCTATAAACTTGGGCTGACATGCCAATCCCACTATTATTCACATACCCATCAGTTTGTAATTTTACTTTTATATCATTCCAATAATTGGAATCAATAATCAAAAATGAAAATGAAAAGGGATTGAAGCCAGTCCTGTGATTTAAGTTAGCTAGTAAGGCTTGGGCACTATATATGATTTAAAACATGCTCATAATTCTACTTTCGCATCATTCAAATAATTTGAATAATTGTCTGATGAGCAGTTCATTGTCAATGACTATTTGTAACAACATGGATGCTAACAGAAACAGAAAGTCTCATGACATTCAATCTAACAACTAGCTAGCAACAAAAATTGCCAACTAGGAATAGCATCAACCTACTGATACTTCAAAAATTACATCAACTCCACCCAGTCAATCAAAGGAATGACTTAATGGACTGGTTTAGATCGAACCCAGCTTCCTGATAGGCATTTAGAAAGAATATATAACATTGGATAAACTAACAGGCCAAAACCTCTTAATAAAATACAGTGAAAAATGCTAAGACTTTTATAGCAACAATTTTCTATGAGCCTTTCACTATTTTCATCGTTCCTGTATTAATTTCCTCGTTTTGTTCAATCCACTACTAACAACCAAACTCCAAGCTCTAAACTAGCTATGTTTTCTTGATCCTTCTCAATTTAAGTACTCTCCCTTATCAGTGAAAGTACTCTCATTTATAAATTTTGGAGGAAGATTTATAAATAATAATCATATTTAAATTTAAATTATTAAATATTAAAGTATCATATCTTAATAAGGTGCTCTTAAAACAAATATAATATTTTTTACTCATCAGTCAGCAATGGTAGTCTGATAATCACTCAATAACTGGTTAAAATAATTAGTTAAAATGATATTTTGGTCTTTTGTAAGTAAGAAATAACATTGGTCAATTAAGATTTATTTGTAATTTGTATGACTTTATCAACATTAATTTTCTTAGAGGGTATTAATTTGTAATTTTTTGAACCCATTTATGTAATTTTCTAAATTAACTAACAGTCAAACTAAAGGACATTTAATGAGGGAGCAACATTACTCCGTTTTTAATACATGAGAGGCGACATTGCACTGCCTTTAACCTGAGGGTGTGCCCAATGCACCTGAAATAAAAAACAATCAAGGGACAAAATAGCACTTTAACTCATTTTAATTTGATAGCAATAGACTAAATTTGAGTGTTTTCCCAATCCAGATTTAGTTGTTATTATGCTAAATTCAATGTCGCTTAACATTAACTCACTTTTCTGAATACGAGCAAAGTTAGTCAAGTTACTACAGACCATGGTGAATTCTTAAGCAAAATACAATCATCTCATAATTGGTTAAAAATTAACTCCTGAATAATGGGAGATGACATTTGGACCTTTGTAAGGGAATTATTAACAGTTTGGCCACTCCCAAAAACCCAAAAAAAAAAAAAGTTGTCAATACAGTATCATAGTTGTTGATCTCAAAAGGGTCATTGCTTCAAGAGACTAAAGTACCTCACAGGGGACTCAAATGTCATTCTCTTGTGAATAATTATGTGCGCAGCATATGCATGATGTTAATTAACTCGGCTACACTTTATCTTTATAGCATTTAAGATCGTCATTCATTCTTGTTAGAAGCTTTTTTTATGTATTAAGGCTATTTTAAATAAGTTAAATACTAGGGACAATATTGTATATTTTCCTTATCCCAAAGTTTATTGGTGTAAATTCTCTTATGCCTTGAGCCTCCATATATGGGCACTCCTCACTTCTAAATGCATTAAGGTTCCTCTCAAAGATAATTGACAATTCTCTGGTGGATTCTCCTTGATCCAAATTATCACTTATGCCGATATTTCCTTTCCACGGCAAAATATATTATCTCTAAGTAACACAATATTCTCAATCAATAATAACAGTAATTCAATTACGAATTAAGTAGCATTTATGGGGCAATAGGAGCATCGACTGGGTTTAATACCCATATGCAACCCCATCCATAAACTGCCTTTTTGCACAGCTGCTTCCAACATTTTCCTAGGGGATTTATGAGTTGCAACCCAATTAATAGACTATTACATAGACACTCTTCTCTTAGTTCAGAAGCAAGAGCAACAGAGACATTAGTCAACGATATCAACTCCAGATGAATCTAATTTTGGAAAACCATGACAATGGAAAGTTATCAGAGAAAGGAATGAGAGGAAAGCAGCACCTTCTTTTGGTCTAGTCCCCGAACTGCTAGGCTTATCTTCAACTGATTCTGGAGGCAATCTAGATTTCTGATTTACATCCATGCTTTCTGATTTCTGACGAGGGTATTGCTGGCTACCAGTTGACCCCATCCCAGTTTTGCCAGCCACAGCAATAGGCTTAGTGTTCTAAAGTTAGAATCTCCATAACCTGCAGGTCCTGCACGAGATCACACTCATTGTCAGCTCTATGCAGCTATTCATGTGTTTTGAAGTGCATAAAATCCATTAGGTGTCTGAATGTCTGTTAACAGTTTAATACAACAAGGAATCCATAATACATTCAAACTTCGAATTGTAACAACAAATGGATTTCAAAAATAAGATAACAGCAAGCTGGAACATCTTTATCAATGTTCTAATTCAATGCCGATGAAGATCATAATTGTTAACCATAGAGAACAATGACTAATAACCAAAAAATTAATTAAAAAAGAAAAATAATAATACCTAAGGCAGTTAAAATGCTAATAGCAGGTCCATCATCATTCGCAAAAATACACACTCTAGTGGAGAATATTCAAAAGAGAATCATTTAAAAATGAATAAAACTCTCAATAAACTAACGGAAGAATCACTTCTGGGTTTCTGGCACCAAGAGTAGTAGCTATAGTGCTTTTTTATACTACCTTTTTCATATAATAGAAAATGTCCTAGGTTTCAGCCCTCAATTCTGGTTCCAATATTAGACCCTAAGTATACTTGTATCATCAAGTTTGGACATTAAATAGCTAGAGAACTTCACAGATCACAGATTATCAGGCATTCAAGCTCAATACCTTATCCAAGTATAGGCAATGTGTTGAGAGACCATTTCAGGCTCATTTTAGAAGAATACGTCAAAGGCTGAATTAGATATTTTTGTGACTGTTTTGGCAATAATTATTTTCGAGACATTTTAGGAGTCTTTATGAGGTCCCCCAACGTTCAATTCTGTTATTTCTTTGGTTGCTGCATTCTGTTCTGAGATTTTAGGGGATTTTTTCTGAATTTATTTGATTATTTTAATGTATTTCCACCTCTACAAGTAGGCTAGAAACTTCAAAAGCTACTTTGATTGAAACAAAAGTTATTTCATCCATATTTGGAGAATCTCCTAGGCTTTTGGCTATTAAGATTATTTAGAGTGAGATTCTCACTTTATGTTCTTAATAGTTTCCCTTCATCATACTATTATTATTCTGCTTGAGCACTTGCCACAATGATTTGCCACGTTAATTCCCATGCGAAAGTCTCCCTTAATTTCTTATACTTTTAGCTTTACTCCCATAGAAGAGGAAGAGCATAAAACCAACATGCTTTCAAGCAAAACTGACCTGAGGGAGATCCAACATGCAGCTTCACAAATTGAGGAGGTCGGTCTGCTTCACTTTCTTCTACCTTCCTTAAAGATGATCGAGAGAATCCTGAATATTTTTTGTTCATCTGCCATTCGTCATAAAGCGATTGAACAACACCTCCTAATATGGTCAATACTCCAGAATTTAAACAAACTATACCACCACGAATCACAGTTTTATCTTCCAAACGAACCTGTCAAATAGAATATGATAGCGATATCAATTAATTAAAAATGATAATAATCAAGAACATGCACACAATAAGGATACATGATGCAAACAAACACGTAAAAGAGAAAGAAAAAGAGAACAATAGATCAATAATATAATGTAGTAGAAACCTAGAAAATATAACTGTACCAATTAAAACAAATATTTAGGTCAATCATAATTAACAAATAGTAACTGTATCAATTAAAATATTTCAAAACATGCATCAACTGATGAAAACTTTCATTACCAAATTACAGACCAGAAGTTATCTTATAACAGCGTTTGTATACAAGACATCATAACACAACTTATACTTTCCCCAAGAAAGAAATGAGAGCTATCAGCAACTTGAAGCTTGACAATGCAGCTCAAAGCACAAAACACCAATATTTACCTGACTCTTATTACTACTATTGTCCACCACCATGCAAAAATTAGTGACTTGACAAACAAAACCAATAATTTCATATTGCTTTTGTGAATAAGCACTGCGTTATAGCACATAGTTACAAGCCATAAACCAGAATTTCCCAGCTAAACTGAAAGAGCAACAATACCAAAGGAGCTTTAAAGTGCAAGTGCCCATCAATTTGCAGGACCCTTCTATAGAATCTCAAGCATTCCATTGGTTCTAAACAGAACTACCAATCATTCAATCAATACTCCCCAAAGACCTCAACTACCATGGGAACAATTCTTCCACCTCTCTCTCTAATGACTTAAACAACTACATCACTACAACTGGAAGAGCTTTAAATTCCAGATATAGCCTCTTCTATACCCAAGCTAGTCATTCCACCAAAACGAGCTTTTCACAATCATCATATGTGCTTTTATTGCCAAAAGCAAGCCAAACTTCAGATTTAATCCCATTTATCATACTTAAAAATTAAAACATTGACATTTTCAGATTTCATATCAAACTAAACTACCATTCTAAATTTTCCACATTAACAAAAATTTAATTTTGACCAGGTCACATGTCAGAATATTTATCAACCACATATATTTTTATTCCTGAAATTCAAGTTATTGACTGTAGTCAAACATTTAGAATTACAGACAAAACTATTGAACTCCCCTGACATTTGACAACATACTTAGAATTACAACCCCAATATATGCCTTATAGCACGCTTAACTCACATTCACAATATGTTTAAGGGAGCCAGCCTGATTAAGCCCATGCAAGTCTAACATAAAAACAAAGCATAGTTGCCACTCTCTCCAATCCTATATATTAGTCACCTTCTAGAACAATTAGATGGTCCCATATATTAGCCACTTTACATAAAAAGGTGGAACATTAATTAGGGTTTTCTTTTTAAAATTCATGCTTTCAAATTGGAGTAAACTTGGAAGGTCATTTAATTCTTAGACCATTTTAATGATTTAACTACCTCCCCTTTGGTCCTTGTGAGATAGTTAGAAGATCCCTACATTTAGGACCGAAAAGAGTACATTACATTTACCTCCTCTCTCCTCCGTCTGTCTAATCTACTAGGAGAACCAAGTATAAAGAGAATTTCAGTACCTTAGTGCCAGGAACAACATTATCAGGCGTAAGTGGGATGTGAGAATATTCTATGGCAGTTATATCAGAGTTCCCATCTGTGAGACCTAATCTAAGAAGTCGCCGATCACCTGAGCTTCTTGAAAATTCATCCACAGTACTACTAGAAATGTCCCTTACTGAAGATATCTGCTCAAACGAACCAGGACCAAAAAAAAAGTCATGATGTATGAAGAGAGAGTGTGCAACTGTATAACTAAAGCAGTTCTGGAGTCATAAGATTCAAGAAAACCAATTCCCACTGCCTACGGTTGATGGTATGAGAATAAATAACCAAAGCATTAGCCAAAAAAAATGAAAACATTATTAAACTGTTGGCCTTTCTTGTTCCAATAAATTTTTAATCTAGTCCGAATAATTTAAAAAGAAAATTGTAATTAAATCTTTAGAGTTTAAATAATTCTTAGCGTAGTCCCTCGTCGTAGTTTTGTTAATTTTTTATTAAATATATGATTGATTTTGCTTCATTATCCATACTTTTACATCTTTCGTGAGTACAAATCGTAATGTTTGGAATTTTGAATAGCAAGACAACATATAGTTATTAATTACACAAATAAAATTGAACAAAAATATTGGCATTTAAAAAGAAAGGGCTAATTTAAAAAGCTTGAAAACTATAAGGTCTCAATTACAAGTTTTCAAATCATAAGAACTAAAGTAAATTAAAACAAGTGAGGGATACTATGATCAGAAGTATAATTTATCATTTAAAAGAAAAAGTAACTAAAGAACCGTAATCAGGATTTAGAAGCAACATCAATCCATAACTTTCGTCCACTAGTAAATCCACACAGTATCTAAAAAAAGCACGAAATCCCAGATTTTGATTCGTCCACTATACAAATGCAAACATACAGAGTTCAATAGAAAGTAGAAATAGGGGTAATAATTTGCCTGTAGGACTTTGGGGCCCTGAAGATAAGAAGACTTGCGAAGACGAGAAGGGTCGGGCAAGGACTTGCCTCCGATTAATCGAAGGTCCAAATTCAATAGCTCCGACTCAACAGAATCAACCACCTTCGTTGCATCAATGGCTAGAACGTAGTGAATGGTGATCGTAGCCTTCACTTGCTGCAGGTCTCCGAAACACCAACCTCTTGTTCTCAGGGCTTCTAACACAACTTCCGGCTCCTCCGATGCCTTCGAAGCCGTCTCCATCTTTTTAAGCGCCACAGTGTAGTGAATGAAATTCAAGAAGGAGAAAAGGAGAAAAGTGAGAAACCACGGAGTTCAGGCTCAGCATATTTGAACATGTAATTTGAACCCAAAAACAAAAAGAGAACATATATCCTAAAATGCAAAAGTCCTGCACTGTGGTTTGGTTCAATGTCATTGGGCCTATTTGGTTGAGCCCATTATTTTTCTCATCTGCAGTTTGGTTTCTCAGGTCCATTTTGTAATAGACAGAGCATAATTTTTAGGGAACATCTGAAAGCCCCTGAAGAAATCTTATATATCTTAAAGCTCATCTAATTTTTCACTGTTATACTGTTCATATACAGTGTTTTCCCTCAAATGGCCCTACTTGATGTTGTTCATCTACCGTGTTTTTCCCTAAATATCCTTTTTATGTGGGTCCCATCATTTTTGTGTCCATTATTATTATTTCAGAAAATTATCCTATCTTCCTCACTCTCACCTTCTAGGCCTTTCTATCCTTGGGATTAATCATCCGCCCTCTCATCATCTCTCCCACAGACCAAACTTCTCTTCTATTATTATCATCACACAGCCTCTTCGTCTTCATTCCCAGACAAAGTCACGAATGTGAAAAGCGTGAGAGAGAGATTTGGCAGCTTAAAAGCCTAATCTGAGATTGGCGCGTGAGTTTCGTTAGCAAGTGGTGCCAGTAAGCCCTTACCGTAACTTTTTGATGACTTTATTGATCATCGATGTCTTTTTGTGAAGGTTTTGGGACATTCAAATGGTTTAGGTTTTTATTCTCCTCTTCTAAACTAATGTTTAAACTTTCATTTTCTATGCCTAAATTTTTATCCATGGTACTAGGCAACATTTTGAATTTTTCTTGTGGTTGGTCGTTTTTGTAGTTATAAATCATTAATAGGGTTGCATTTTATTTTGTTGCTATCTTGGATGTAGTATGTTTTATCTATGTTATCTTGAATGCAGTCCTTGAAGAAGTAGAAGGAGATTCACCCTTAGAGATCCTCTACCATCCTCGTCATTTTCAGCTACTAGACATCATCGTCCCCTCCATCAATACTATTAACTGTCATCCCTTCTGATTGAGATTCGACGAAGGAGGAGCGTGCCCAAAGTGTTCGTCAACTTTATTCCTGGGTTTATCTATCCAAACTACAACAATTACTACTAATATTTATCATTTCTCGTGCAAATTTAAAGCCGTGGATCTAATTTTTTGGTGAACTAAAGAGGTTAATCTGATATGCTCAATATCTTAAATCCTAAATTGCTCACTAATTTAGCATATTGTAAAATTTGCTACAGAAGTTGAGATACATGTATAGGAGCACTATTGATTCCTCTTTATTCAATGCAGGAGTGCTATTGAAGGGTAATTTGTTTCTTCTCTTTTTCTTTCTCATCATTGATTACTTAGTTTATTGATTTTATTATTTTTTCGATAAAGGACAATGCATGCATTGATATCTTCCAATTTTTTCCCAAAATGATTTGGAACATTATTAACCAGATTACTTGATTTTTGTTTTCCTTTAGTCTGTGAAACATTATACAAGTAAAACCATTTTTGAGTTGTATCAATGGTAGTGTTTTTCAAGTGAAATATGGTGTATCACAAACTATACTTTTTCTTTGCTTTAGCGATCAGGTCTTTATAAGGATCAAAATTTCTGGCTACATGCTGCTATTATGAGTTTATCTACCATCCTAGAGTACTGAACCAAATTGCTTGTATATTTGCTATGAATTTTCTTCTCTGCTTCCTTCTAGTTTAGTATTCAATCCTTGATTTAGAAGCTCCATAGATTTTTTTTTTTGTGGGTTTTATACATGCTTAGTTCTATATCTTGGGTTAGATGTTACAGTATATCTCTTTCTTTTGAGGTTATGCCATGAGTAAATTAGGACTTTCTCTTCTTCACAAACTTGGGAATTAAATTAGATTATAGTAAAAATTTAAAATGTCTTTGTTCCATCCAACTTTATAAGCTCTGGCATTTCCTTCATATTATGCTGCTGCTACATCTAATAATAGACCTTAACTATTGCGTGAGGCAAAATTGGAAGGTAATAAATGTTTATTTTGCATATTATTAGTTGAAATGTTATTATTTTGATGTGGTCTCTTTTTCATTTAGAACATGAGAGAAATAAAGAATAAGAATATGTGATCTTTTTTTTTTTTAATTTAAAAGTGTTGGTGCTTCACGATGATTAGGGTATGGTTCTACTTTTTTTGGAGATTAATGTTTGATGAGTAAGGTTATTTAATTTTGAGTTATGACAAAGCGTACATTCTAATGAAATTGTTTTTCTCCAGTTGATTAATGGATGTTGTTTTCTTCATAAATGATAGTCTCACTTTTTCTTGCATTATTTGTTTATTCTATCTGATTAACTGAATCTAGTACTAGCTACATTATGTTTTTATATTTTGTTGAAATGGATCTTCTCTTCCTCCTTTTGTTAGGATGTGCATGAATTCTTGAACTTTTTCTTAATTGATCCGGTGGTCATTTTGAAAGGCTTCAAAAGAGATCAAGAGACCTTATCACCTTCTTATCATGGATCAACGAATCATGACTTATGCACGCACACATGTTGTGCTCAGTAGGGAGTGGAAAAGTGAGTCGAGTATAAAACAGATATATTTGGTGTTTCCCTTGTGGATTGGATGTTTCAAAATTTATCATTTTCAGGTATTGTTCTAGAATTCCAATCTCATTGGTTCTTTATTTTGAGAGATTGTCTTTAAATTAGGCTATTTTGGTGCCAAAAATTGTTAACTTATTGAAACCTAGATGAAAATGCCTTAATTGACTAAATATAGTAGTAGTTGCTCATAGGATCCCGTGCATGCTCAACCATAAAACAATAAAATCCATAATTAATTAAAATTAGCTCAAAATGAATTGCATGTTTTTGCCAAAGGAGGAGGCAACAGAAGGTTGAAAATGTATTGAGATAAAAGGCATCAAACAAAATTCAAGAATGCATGGGGCAGTTGAGTAAAGTATTTTAAATATTAACAATAAAAATATTTTTGTTGAAATATTTGAAGTTGTGTAACCTGTTAAAATAATTTTCATTAAATTTTTTTTCTCTTCATGCTGATAGATTCTAATGTGATTTATATTTGAATATTTTTATTAAGTTGGTTTGAAAAATTTTAATTTATATGATTGATAAAATTCAAAAGCAAATTTTGATGTATAATAATTGTAAATTATAATAATTTTATAATATATTTTTGTTTCTAATTGTCTTAAAGAATATTGAATTTTAGATTGCAATATAAATAGTCTATATTTAATTATTATTTATAAATTATAAAAACTTCAATTTTTATAATAAATTAAAAATGTTAAATTTTAAAAAGATAAAATAAATTGATAGAATAAGGGAGTAAATTTGACAAAATTTAAAATGCATGAAATTTTCAATCTAATTTTTGCATAAACTCTTTAAAAACTCACTAAGGACCCGTTTGTGATCAAAATAAATGATTTTACATAGTTAAATTCAAAGGTTTGGTCCCTTAATCAGGTTTGGTCCTAAATAAACTAACTTATGTTTTAATCACATGTCAAGATATAAAGTTTAAAGACAGTTAATTAATTTATTGATCCTGAGGTGTGATTGGATTAAAAGTATCATATATTTTTTGAATAACAGGGAGAATTCACATAGAAAATTATTAATTAATATTTTTTTATTCTACCCTAGGAAATTAGCAAAGGAAGAATTAATTCAAATTTAGTATTTCTATATAGTTCCTTAAATTATGTGTTACTTTATCTAATTGAACGGTAAAAATCAATGTATTTTTTTAGACCATTATGCGTACAAATATATATCATCTATTATTTGAATAGTAAAATATTATGACACAATCAATTATATTTCAACCTAATATAACTCAACATAATTTTATTTAACCTAATTTTATGAATGAGTATTCTAACTCATAGGACCTTTACATCTCTTTTACATTGAAACCTAACATGATTTGGCAAATGTTGATGACATGAAAAATTAATATAGCTACCCAATGGTATAAATATTTGACCATGAAATTGCCTGCGCAATGCACAGGCCCCTTTCACTAGTTTTACATAATCCAAAATCTTAAAATTCTAATATGGTACCACATCTCATGATACTTACATGAAAATAAGTTTTTATAATAAAAGGTCTAATTACCCTTAGGTTCTATTTGGATGGGTGAGTTTAAATTGAGAATTTGAATTTAAAATCTTATATTTAAAATCTCATATTTGAAATTCATAGATTCTAAATTATTTGTTTGGATGATATAAAAAATTTCAAATTGTAATATTAAAATTCTTTGTTTAGATCTAAAGTAAAATTTTAAATTTTAAATTCTACATTTGAATCCAAAAAAAACTTGAAAGATTTGTCAAACTCGATGATTTGAATAGCTAACTTCCAACGGGATCAGACAAATAAAGCAGACTATGACTGTGGCACTAATGACAACCGAGATGGGACCTTCGACTTCCACCAGGATCGAATCAATGACAATGACGGGGATCGAATGGCCAACTTCCACCGAGATCAGACTGATGGCGACAATTGGATGACCAACTTCCAGCAGGACTGAACTGACGGCTACCCCAAGTACTGGACGACTAACTTAGACCAAGATCAGATCAACAGGGATGACAAGGACTGGTTGGCTAACTTCCACAGAGACCAGATAGATGGTGATGATAGGCACTGGACAGCAGACTTCCATCGAGACTGAACTAACGAGCATTGAATAGCTGATTTCCACTGGGACTGAATTGATGGTGATGGCGAGCACCAGACAGTTGACTTCCACCAAGGCTGGACCGATAATGATGGCAAGCACCGAAAGTCGGTCATCAGGTCGACGTCATTGTCGTTGGTTCGGTCCCGGTGCAAGTTGACTGACAAGTCCTTATTGTCATCATTGATCCAGTCCTTGTCATAGCCATCAATCCAATCTTGATGGAAGAAGGTTGTTTAGTGTCCGTGGTAGCTGTCGGTCCAATCTTGGTAGAATTCGACCGACCGGTGTCCTTCATT